TTGCTGCTTGGAAATGCCTGAAGAGATGGAGCCCGTGGGTGCTCCAGTTGCAGGATGCATTTCTCCAGAGAACACTTGGATCCCGGAGGATGGGTAGAGTAGTCAGTAGCCAGAGCCAGGATCAATATGGAACAGCAGACAGGAGCAACGTCAGGATCAAGCCAGGGTCATACACAGAGTAGTAGCAGACAGGAACAAGGTCAGGATCAAGCTGGGGTCATACACAGAGCAGCAGACAGGAACAAGGTCAGGAACAAGCCGGGGTCATACACAGAGCAGCAGACAGGAACAAGATCAGGATCAAGCCGGGTCAGTAATGGGTAATCAGCAGAAGACTCAGGACCACAGGAACAGGAGGGGCTGACGATAATCCAGCAATCATTGAGCAGAGCTGCGGTCCTTATAAAGGCCACTGAGTGTCAGCAATTAGTGCACCCTGCGTGTGCTGGTGTGTTTTCATGCACAGGAATGTTTCACTACGTGACGCCTGCCTATGCACATGCGCACTTCTTTGCGTCAATTGGCGTGGCCATGTTGCGCATTGGCACATTTGCCCGAGCTTCCTCGTCTTTTCCTCTGACATCTGCCCTTTTGTCAGCACTTCAGGTTTGGGGACGGCAATCTCTGGAATTTCCACTGCTGATTCTTGAGCATGCTGCTGAACATGTTTTAGTAGTTGCCTGTATGCCCTTTCCAGATAATGTTCTTTCATCAGCAGGTATTCTAGATCTGGTTCAAGCTCTGAGACCCCTGTGAGACTGAACATAGCCTCTCTGTCTTCTCGCAGGTCCTCAAGGGTAGGTTCTCCTTCATCGCCAAACACAAAATAATCTGTAAGGCTATCCCACAGCAATCCAGAGCCACCAAAATCATATCCCTCCGGAGAGCATTCTGTTGTCACCCCTAAATATTTCTGCTCTGCGTGCCATTGCAGAACCTGATATCGGTTGCCCAGCTCTATCTCTTGCTGGACCAGCCTGTCCAACTCAGTCACCCATTGCTCCTGGGGTCGCTCTCCCAGGAATGGCATCCATAACTCCCATTGGTCCCTGGTTCATTCCCCTGGGGTTGGATAGCACTTGCCTTTGTACATACCAGCAACCTGGAGGGCTCCACTCCAAAGCACCAGCCGAATCCGCTGCCTGAGCTCCAGGTACTCATCCGCAGACACAATCCTGAGGTATGTTGCAAGAATGATCCTCAGCAGCCCCGTGAACTCTGATGCCAGGTCCATATCTCCACTAGGGTGACCGACATCTACTTTCCTGATCTTGAATCCCGGTGGTGGTTTGGATGTGTTCACAGCCAGGAAGCACAATCCCACCACTTGCCACCAATGTAACAGAACTGACCCAGACTTCGCTTGAGTACTTCCATTAGACTATCGTTTCCCCGTCTGAACACCAACAACAGACACCACAGCCGAGCATACAAGACTAGATGACACCGGTCTTGAAGTAAACCAGGAGGTAGACTAGTTTATTTGAACACAGGTACAATATATACACAACAAAGGGGCAATTCCCCCTCCCTGCATAATGATACAGGGCGGGGCAATCTACATTTAGTAACAAGAGACACACAGGTATTCAAACTTCACACCAGCAGACAGTCCCATCAGGAGGGAAGGCTGCTGGAGACACCCCCCCCCCCCTCTAAGCTAATACACATAAACACATGCATCCCATAAAAGTTTACTCCCAAACAATAGAACAATGGGATGCAGCCATATAACATCAAACAATCAGCAACCCCACACCCCAATATTAGGACAGATCACCCTGTACCCCTAACAGGCGCAGGGTGATTTACACATGTGACGGAAGCGTAGGCAGGGCAGAACACACAAAGAAGACGGTAAACACACAAAGCTTTATTGAACTATGGAAGGCACTCAATCATGCAGTTCATGGCATTCCGCAACATGCGGCTTGAAGGGACACTCACGACAAGCGGGTTCACGGGACTCAATGGGAACTTGGCTGTGGGGTCTGACCTCAGCACAGCTCCCACACAGCTCTCTAGGGACAACAGCAGGCTCACAGGGACTCAGCGGGACCTTAGCTGTGGGGTCTGACCTCAGCAAGCAGCGCTCCCACAGGGAGGGACAACACCGAGGGGTCACGGGGACTTAGCGGGAACTTGGCTGTGGGGTCTGACCTCAGCACAGCTCCCACACAGCTCTCTAGGGACAACCCAGGCTCACAGGGACTAAGCGGGACCTTAGCTGTGGGGTCTGACCTCAGCACAGCTCCCACACAGCTCTCTAGGGACAACACCAGGCTCACGGGGACTTAGCGGGACCTTGGCTGTGGGGTCTGACCTCAGCACAACTCCCACACAGCTCTCTAGGGACTACCCCAGGCTCACGGGGACTCAGCGGGACCTTGGCTGTGGGGTCTGACCTCAGCACAGCTCCCACACAGCTCTCTAGGGACAACACCAGGCTCACGGGGACTCAGCGGGACCTTAGCTGTGGGGTATGACCTCAGCACAGCTCCCACACAGCTCTCTAGGGACAACACCAGGCTCACGGGGACTCAGCGGGACCTTGGCTGTGGGATCTGACCTCAGCACAACTCCCACACAACTTTCTAGGGACAACACCAGACTCACGGGGAATCAGCGGAACCTTAGCTGTGGGGTCTGACCTCAGCACAGCTCCCACACAGCTCTCTAGGGACAACATCAGGCTCATGGGAACTAAGCGGGGCCTTAGCTGTGGGTTCTGACCTCAGCACAGCTACCACACAGCTTTCTAGGGACAACATCAGGCTCACGTGGACTCAGCGGGACCTTAACTGTGGGTTCTGACCTCAGCACAGCTCCCACACAGCTCTCTAGGGACAACATCAGGCTCACGGGGACTCAGCGGGACCTTAGCTGTGGGGTCTGACCTTAGCACAGCTTCCGCACAGCTCTCTAGGGACAACATCAGGCTCACGGGGACTCAGCGGGACCTTGGCTGTGGGGTCTGACCTCAGCACAGCTCCCACAGCGCTCTCTAGGGACAACATCAGGCTCACGGGTACTCAGCGGGAGCTTGGCTGTGGGTTCTGACCTCAGCACAGCTCCCACACAGCTCTCTAGGGACAACATCAGGCTCACGGGAACTCAGCGGGACCTTAGCTGTGGGGTCTGATCTCAGCACAGCTCTCTAGGGACAACATCAGGCTCACGGGGACTCAGCGGGACCTTGGTTGTGGGGTCTGACCTCAGCACAGCTCCCACACAGATCTCTAGGGACAACATCAGGCTGGGGGGGGGGGTGGCGAACCTCCTCAGCACACAGATAATCTGGGCCCCAGAGTATTAGGCAGAGTATCGTAGGGCCCGCAGCAAAGCAGTTCTAGCACACAGCAACAGCGGGTAATCCGGGCCCCAGAGTATTAGGCAGAGTATCGTGGGGCCCGCAGCAAAGCAGTTCTAGCACACAGCACAGTGGGTAATCCGGGCCCCAGAGTATTAGGCAGAGTATCGTGGGGCCCGCAGCAAAGCAGTTCTAGCACACAGCACAGTGGGTAATCCGGGCCCCAGAATATTAGGCAGAGTATTGTGGGGCCCACAGCAAAAGCAGTTCTAGCACACAACACAGCGGGTAATCCGGGCCCCAGAGTATTAGGCAGAGTATTGTGGGGCCCACAGCAGACAGTCCTGACCCAGAGAATTAGCAGAGTAACATTAGCGGGGTGGCAGCGGATACTCCCAGCCCTGGAGTATTAGCAGAGGGCAGCGGGTATTCCCAAACCTGGAGTATTCTGCAGAGTGGCAGCGGATAAGAGTCCTGACCTTTGGGGGGGGGGGGGGGTCTCCTGCAGAGTGCTGATCGGGGATGGCTGCGGAGGTCTGGTCCCCACCCGGACCTCCCAAAGGCTTGCAGTACAGCAGCGGCGGAGACAGAAGACAAAGGCCGGGTCCCGCGCCAGCCTTTTTAAGGCCAGCCAGGACGCTTCCCGATTGCCCCGGCAATGTCCGGCCCAGCGCCACGTTGCCGGGGCAACGAGGCACGCCCCCTTGACTCGGGCTGCGCACTCGTGAACGCGGCCTTTGTCTCCTGGCGGGCGCAGAGCGTGGGAAGCCCCTGTGCCCGTGCTGTACCCACCGGGGGAGCGCGGAGACCTGTTGGCGGCCCCGCGCCAGAATCCCTCAGCGGGGTGTCACTCCTCTCCGGCTATACGGCCGTAGAGGTGTGAGGTCCGCCACAGGGGTCACTTTCTTCCCATCCTGCATGGCCTGCCTTCAAAGGCCGCATCAGGATGTGAGGAGGTGACAAGGGGCAGGGGGGTGAGTTGACCCCCCTCATCCTGTGCAGCCTATCTTCAAAGGCTGTGACAGGATGAGGAAAGGATGAGGGGACACAGAAAAGACACAGGCACAGGGGGTGGGGGGGGGAGAGGAGCAGACACTCCGTGACAACACATAAGAGGGATTTACACATAAGAGGGATATGGGGAGCTGAGACAGGGGTCTCCCCACTTCTCCAAAGTGAGCTGGGTTACTTGGGCCCCCCTACCCTGAGTGACTCCCGTCACAACTCCTATTCACATAAACACTCTATGATTGCATTTTTCACTTATGCTTTAGCGCTGCACTTACATTTGAATTGAGGACTTCAATACTGCTCAACTAAGAGATAAGTTCAGATGTCCTCAGTGTGAATAGTTCTAATTTTTGAAGTATCCTACTACAATTTCCCATCCCTATCCCCAGTTCTACAATAAAACTCCAGTTCTAAAAATAAAACTCCAAAAACAAACATTCCCTGGACTATTCATTGAAGACAACAAGCAGAAGTGTGTGTGTGTCAGGGATCTCCTCGATCTCCGCCGCGATGGTCCCGGCGCAGGCGCAGTGCACCGCCCTGTGCAGGGACACGGGCACTAGGTCCGGGCCGGCCGCGGCGTTCGAGTTCACGCATGCGCAGTAGAAGCCGTGGCCGCCCGCTGGGCACCAATGGCAGTGCAGGGCGGGATATTTAAATGTCCCTGAGCTGTCATTCAATGCCCCTCATTAGTTCTGACCTACTGTTGCTGACCTGGCGTGTGACCCGACTATTCTCTGCCCGCTCCCTTGTACCATACGTCCTCTCCGTTACCAACTCGGCCCGTCTGACTTCGCACTTGCTCAGCCATCCATCCCATCGGGGTCACCCGACCTCCTCACATCTGGCTCTCCCTGGTTGGAGCCCCTGGCGAACACCCCTACCGCTGACAGGTGTGCTCAGTAGTGGCGACCTGGTCCCGGGGTACTCCAAGTCCATCCCCACCATCAGGGGCTCTGGTGAACAAGTGCCCTGGGGCTTGGACTCCGCGCTCTGGGCACGCCTGACCAGTGGAGTGCTAGTGGTGCCGCTCGGCGGTCCCTCACAGTACCAGAAGGCCATGACTGAGCCTCGAGGAGGACCCTCCCCGATGGAGGAGGTTTGCAGGCACCTGGCTACCCTGACGCAAGCAGTAAACGTGTTACAGGACAGATGTTTGCAGATTGAGAATCGGTTCCAGGCCTGCACCATATCTGCTCCTGTTTCACAGGCCCCGGCTCCTGCACCCCCGGTCGCAGCAGCCCATGAGCCGGCTCCCGGGCCTTCCGCATCACTCCCTATGGCGGAACCCCGAGTACCCTTACCCGAGCGCTTCCACGGGGATCGCACACGCTTCCGGTCATTCCGTGACTCCTGCCTGCTCTATTTCGAACTGCAACCACGGACTTTTCTGACGGATTCAGTGAAAGTGGGGTTTGTTATCTCCCTGTTGCAGGGTGAACCCCAAGACTGGGCCCACCGACTAAGGGGAAATAATGATCCCCATCTGGTTTCAGTTGACAACTTTTTTAATGCTATGGCCATCTTATACGATGATCCACAACGGGCAGCCTCAGCCGAGGCCACATTATACGCACTCCGACAAGGTCGGCGAGCGGCTGAGGAATACGCCTCTGACTTTAGGCGTTGGATGGGGGACACTCGTTGGAACGAGTTTGCGCTTTTGCACCAGTTCCGTATGGGCCTCTCAGAGGCTCTGAAAGACGAGCTCACCCGGGTGGAGGTGCCCGAGACATTAGAGGACTTGATTGCACTAACCATTAAAATTGACCGTAGATTACGGGAGCGCAGATTGGAGAGGTCTGGTCAGGGTCGCGGAAATACCTGGGGGTCATTCCAAGGATCCAGTCAAACTACTAGGCCAAACATCCAGAACCTGCCGTCTGAGGATGCTCCCGAACCCATGCAGCTAGGCCTGGCACGGCCTAAGCTACCGCCAGAGGAACGCCAGCGCAGACGCTCCCAGAACCTGTGTCTCTACTGCGGTGAAGCTGGTCACATGGTACGTTCCTGCCCACAGAAACTGAGTAAGTTCACCTCATCTTCTTTATCTATTGGCAATATGAATCCGTCCCAATACTTAGTTGTGCCCCTCTCCTTTCAGCTTTCAGAAAGGACCGTGGAGGTGACGGCCATAGTTGATTCGGGGGCATGCAGCTGTTTTGTGGATATCAATTTTGCTCACCGGCAGGGTATCCCCCTCCATCCAAAGGAGAAAGGGTTTCACATCTTTTTGGCTGATGGCTCCCGGATAAAGTCAGGGGTGGTTAACCAGGAGACCCCTTCCATTGTTACTTCCATTGCCGGCCAACACCGGGAGCTCCTCCGCCTGGATGCTATTGCATCACCCCCCTTTTCCCAGTCATTCTGGGGCTCCCATGGTTGCCGGCCCATAACCCCCAAATTGACTGGGAGACTGGGGTTGTCTCGTTCCCTTCCCCATACTGTTGGGAACTGTGCCGAACTTCGGACCCGGAGGTCCCCCAGGTCCTCCTGTGCTCTGAAGGGGATGCCAGCCTAAAACAAGTGATTCCTGCAGCCTATCATGAGTTTCTTGATGTGTTCAGTGAATGGGGAGGAGATACTCTACCCCCCCCACCGCCCGTATGACTGTCCTATTGACCTGTTACCTGGTTCAGAAATTCCCTTTGGGCGAATTTTTCCCCTTTCTGAGCTGGAATTAGGGGCCCTGAAGGACTATATTGAGGACAGCCTCCGGAAGGGATTCATCCGTCCCTCCACTTCCCCAGCAGGTGCAGGGATCTTTTTTGTAGAAAAGAAGGACAGACTTTAAGGCCATGTATTGACTATCGGGAACTGAATAGGGTCACAATCAAGAATCGTTACCCATTACCACTGGTACCGGAATTATTCCAGAGCTTAAAGGCTTCAGTAGTATTTACCAAGCTGGACTTAAGGGGAGCCTACAACTTGGTTCGCATAAGGGAGGGGGATGAGTGGAAAACGGCCTTCCGCACCCGTTTTGGCCATTTCGAATACCTGGTCATGCCTTTCGGGTTGTGCAATGCACCGGCCACCTTCCAGCACTTTGTAAACGACATCTTTAGGGACTTCCTGGATATCTTGGTCATCGTTTACTTAGACGACATTTTGATTTTCTCATCCTCCCTGGGGGAGCACAGGGTACATGTAGCAAAGGTGTTGGGGCGGTTGCGGCAGCATGGGTTGTACGCTAAAGCAGAGAAATGTTGCTTTGAACAGTCTAGCATTACATTTCTGGGCCTGATTATCTCCACCGCGCGGGGTCGCAATGGACCCTCAGAAAGTCTCTGCGATCCTAGATTGGCCTGAACCCACAGACAGGAAAAGCGTCCAACGATTTATCGGGTTCGCAAACTTCTACAGGAAGTTCATCAAGAACTTCTCGGGTCTGGTCTCCCCCATCACTCGGTTAACCAAGCTTGGGACACGATTCAGATGGACGCCAGAGGCACAGGAAGCTTTTGAAGCATTAAAGAAGTTATTCACCTCGGCACCCATTCTGGGTCACCCTGACGCCTCCCTACCCTACATCTTAGAAGTAGATGCGTCAGAGAACGCGGTTGGCTCCATTCTTTCCCAGCGAAAGGGCGCCAAGGAATTACTTCACCCAGTAGCATTCTTCTCACGGAAACTTACCCCTGCGGAGAAGAATTATGACATCGGCGATCGAGAACTACTGGCTATCAAGACCGCATTAGAGGAATGGAGGTACCTGCTGGAAGGTGCCTCACACCCCATCCTGATATTCACAGACCACAAGAACCTGGAATATCTGAGGACCGCCAAACGTTTGCGCCCACGACAAGCGAGATGGGCATTGTTTTTCTCGAGGTTCCATTTCCACATCACATACAGGCCGGGATCAAAGAACACGAAGCCAGACGCATTGTCGCGCATGTATGAGGACGCCAAGGAGATCCCAGTACCGGACACTATTCTGCCTGCAGGAAACTTCTTGGCCCTCCAGACGAACCTTCGCTCCAAGATACTGAGAGCATCCACAGCCATGTCTACCCCAGATGTGGCGCCCCTCCAGAACAAGGGGGGACTCCTATGGAGGGAGGACCGGATTGTGGTGCCGGAGGAAGCCCGAACCCTAGTCTTGGGACATTGCCATGACCACCCGATGGCAGGACATTTTTGCCCGGTCAAGACCCTGGAACTTCTCCGACGTTCCTTCTGGTGGCCAGACATGGCCAAGGATTGTAAGAGCTACGTGGGCTCCTGTGTCATCTGCCAGCGCAACAAGCCTTCAAGGAATAAGGCGTGGGGTCTGCTACGTCCATTACCCATCCCTGAACGGCCTTGGCAGAAGATCTCTATGGACTTCATAGTCGAACTTCCACCTTCACTTGACCACACAGTAATTCTCGTGGTCGTGGACCGTTTATCTAAAATGGCCCATTTTATACCATTACGGAAGACTCCATCGGCAGCCGAGACGGCGCAAGTTTTTATTCGAGAGGTTGTAAGACTGCATGGGGTCCCTGAAGACATCGTCTCGGACCGAGGTGTGCAATTTACCTCGAGATTTTGGAAGGCATTGTGCAAAGCCCTGGATATCAAACTATCCCTTTCCTCGGCATTTCACCCTCAGACCGATGGACAGACCGAAAGGACCAATCAGACCCTGGAGCAATACTTACAATGCTACACATCTTTTACTCAGGACGATTGGGTACCACTTCTCCCTCTGGCGGAATTTGCGTATAACAACGCTTGCCATTCAGCAACAGGGCAGTCCCCGTTCTTCTCCAACTATGGGTTTCACCCTGTCTTCCTCCTGGATTTGGTCCCGGAATGCCCAATTCCAGCAACACAGGATTCACTAACTTTTTTCTCTTCGAACAATAAGAAACTACAGGAAGCCATCAGTCAGGCCCAAGAAGATTACAAAAGGGCTTTTAATAGGAAACGAAGAGCAGATCTGGTGTTGCGGCCCGGAGAGAAGGTTTGGCTGGCTACCTCTAACTTGAGGATGCTCTGCCCTTCAAAAAAGTTGGGACCTAAATTTATAGGCCCTTTTTGCCTTAAGCGGATGGTCAATGAAGTGGCCTATGAACTTGTCCTCCCTGAGACACTCAAGATCCACCCAGTCTTCCACGTGTCCCTGCTGAAGCCGGTAGTCCCTGATGCCTTCCCGGAACGGGAATCCAGGCCCCCGGAAGCCGTAACAGTCGAAGAGGAAGAAGAATTTGAGGTGGAATCAATCCTGAAGTGCCGATGAAGGGGGGGCCAGACCCAATTTCTTATCAAGTGGAAGGGCTACGGCCCTGAGGACAATTCTTGGGAACCAGCACATAATGTCCATGTACCCAGACTTGTCCGGAGGTTTCTTTGTGACCACCAATGGTGGAGAGATCGGGTGGGCATCCGGAGGTTGCCCGTAAGGGGGGGGCAATGTCAGGGATCCCCTCGATCCCCGCCGCGATGGTCCCGGCGCAGGCGCAGTGCACCGCCCTGTGCAGGGACACGGGCACTAGGTCCGGGCCGGCCGCGGCGTTCGAGTTCGCGCATGCGCAGTGGAAGCCGTGGCCGCCCGCTGGGCACCAATGGCAGCGCAGGGCGGGATATTTAAATGTCCCTGAGCTGTCATTCAGTGCCTTCTGGTCTTACCTGTATCCTGTGATTCTGAACCTGTGCCTAAGTAAGTTATTGACCCGGATTGCTCTTGACCTGCTGATTTCTCCTGCCCAGACCTTTGCTTTGCCTGACCTCTCTTTCTGAATGCCCCTACTGTTCTGACGTTCTGACCTACTGTTGCTGACCTGGCGTGTGACCCGACGATTCTCTGCCCGCTCCCTTGTACCATACCGTCCTCTCCGTTACCAACTCGGCCCGTCTGACTTCGCACTTGTTCAGCCATCCATCCATCCCATCGGGGTCACCCAACCTCCTCACATCTGGCTCTCCCTGGTTGGAGCCCCTGGCGAACACCCCTACCGCTGACAGGTGTGCTCAGTAGTGGCGACCTGGTCCCGGGGTACTCCAAGTCCATCCCCACCATCAGGGGCTCTGGTGAACAAGTGCCCTGGGGCTGGGACTCCGCTCTCTGGGCACGCCTGACCAGTGGAGTGCTAGTGGTGCCGTTCGGCGGTCCCTCACAGTGTGTGTATTTGGCTGAAGAAACACACTGTGCCTGGCTGTGAGTTGAAGTAAGGGAAACCGGAGCAAAAGTGCAAGGGGCCGTCGCAAGGTTAGCATGTGGGGACATCAGTCTGGGATTTTCCCCTTGGAAGTCATAGTGGTTGCTACGGGCAACAGAAGAGATTGTCGCTGTTGTGTGTAGAGGCAATTGGGATGTTGAATTGCAGAGAGGCAAACAATGTGCTTTACAGTTAAGGACACTGCCAGATCAGGGGCTTTTCCTGGTGGCAGCAGCAAATGTTGATGTGTGGCGTGGCAGTGAGAGAGCCAGTGAAGTCTGTCTGAAAGGAGACAGGATCATTATCAGTGTCTGTGCCACAGAAGATGTCTGCTACACAGTTGCCAGTAACGGGACATTTTCAAATGGTGGCAGTGAAAGGGTTAACTAGCAGAGTGGGAAACAGCACACTGGGACTGTCTGCCCAACAGGAGGGTCCGCCCTTCATAAAGAATGGGCGGAGTCGGCACCCAAAGTAGGCCAATGAAGAGGGGCGGAGCTAAGCCACCATTCTGGGTGCAACTGAGGAAGAACCACGTGTGAGGAGTAGCAAGATGACGGCAGCAGATGTGCTTGTCGGAACTGCTGAGAAAGGTGGTGAACATCCAGCATGGCTAACCGACACCAGAGTACATTTGGCCCCCCATGGGAGTCTGGCCTGATGCAGTGGAGAGGATCTGCCAGACCAGGGAGACTAGTATCGTCTCTGTGCGAGACACCCACCCAGTTCAGGCTGAATACCAACCAGTTGCTTCAACAGCAGTCACTATTAGTCGCTCACAAATAGGGACCCCAGCCGCAATGGCTTACGGAGTACAGAGGTTAGCTTCCTGGGGCTCTTTAGGAGAGGAGGAGTCATGAGCTATTGACATTGGGTCAACTAGCTTCCAGTACCACTATGGATCCCAAGAAGAAGGGTTAGCAGACTGGGAGCCAGTTGAAGAGACTGAATTTGTCCATGAGGCTGCAGAGGAGAAAGGCTCTCAGCTCTCAATGCTCTAACCTGTTTGACAAGGAAGATGCCATCATTGTGCAGTGTGCAAGAAATTTGGGGGGTTCTGTGAAGCCTATGTAAATGGGAGCCTTATCTGTTCTCTCGTAAGAGTTATGCTTAGTCTTGAGCTGAGAATGAGGCCTACAACATCCTTATCAAAGAGGAAACAGCCCTAATATGCCCCACCTGGGAGAGGTGATAGGTAGAAATTACCCAGGTTCTCTCACCTTCAGTGTATTGTGAAGGTTGTGGAAGAAATTGAGGCCAAGAGGGGCTCTTGGGGTGAAGAAGCTTTATGTACATCCCTAAGACCTTCCGCAACAGAACGAAAGCTCCACTCTGGGAAGAATTCCTGTCTGTCAAAGAAAACTGGAGTCTGGAAAGATCCATCTTCATCGACAAAGTGGTGATCAAGAGAGCCAGACGGCAATGTCAAGTGTGGACCAGCAATGTCTGGGGCCCTGATGGAAAGATGGTCCAGATAAATCATCCAGATTCTTACTGCTGAGGATCGTTGCTAAAATGTTCTGTTAGAAGTTGTTAGAATTACTACAGTTGCAGGTACAGTAAGAGGGAAATCCCTCTATTCACAAATTCCCCTTCCCCTTCTACCCTTGAAAATTGAAAAGGGGTACATCTGGTGATTGTGCTATTTTCAGAAGAAAAGGCCTTTTCCTATCCAACACCCATGGCTACAACCTGGAGGGGGTAAACTCCTAATGCTCAGAGAACTCCCTTGTTTTTCTTCGAGTTAAGTCTATGTGGGCTGCTGTTGTGTGAAAGGACAGCGGCTCACCTTCATTCTACTAAAGTTCAGCGTGTTCTGAAGAGCTTCAACGGGTGCTACTGCAAAGGACTTTTTCTCAGTTTCTGTTACTTTTGGACTGCCACGGTCTGCCATTACAGGCTAGTACCTAAGAGCTCAGCCCTGCCTACCCTACCTCTAAAAAGGGACTTTGCTCACTCCTAAACTACTTGTTACTACATTTTAAAGAGAAGTCTGCTATCTGCTTTCAGTCAGGACTTTAATACTGCTCAACTAAGAGATACGTTCTGATGTCCGCAGTATGAATAGTTCTAATTTTGGAGTATCCTGCTACAATTCCCCATTCCTATCTCAAGTTCTACAAAAAAAACTCCATAAACAAACATCCCCTAGACAAACATCTCCTAGACTGGTCATTGAAGACAGCCTAAATCCCAAATGAAGTGAGCAACAGGGTTATTTTTTTTTTTTAAATCAGAATAATTTTATATTTACACGAACAAAACAACCATTTGTGGCAGCTAACATTTACCATACAAAAACCACGTTCAACCATAAAAGTTTAATTACACTTTAAGAGCTACATTCCCCAGTCTGACTCAAATTTTCATTCTCCAATTGTTCTGCAATGCAGGTTAATGTCTACTTGTTGTTAATGTTTCAACACAAACCAGTAATATTTTAGACCCTGATGAATTATCTGAACTATATGTAAATGCAGTATTCAACACATAGTAAAAGCTGATGGTAAACATACCTTCTACGATCACATGGACCTCATTTGACACAGCTGTACCCAGGTCATTTCTGGCAAAGCAACGATATTTTCCCTGGAAATCCTTTATATTTCCATTGGAATTGGAAATGACTAAAGTTCCAGACGTTTTATTCTGTATGACTCTTGTGTCATTTGGTTCAAACCGTACCCCATCTTTTTCCCAACTATACCTAAAATAGAAATGATGATAATAAAGGGAATTAATTAATTATGTAATATGTCATATGTAAAATGAAAATGTCATCTTAGGTATTAATTAACCACTAGCCTACAGGGCACTTATACCCCCTTCCTGCCCAGGCCAATTTCCAGCTTTCAGCACTGTTGCACTTTGAATGACAATTGCGTGGTCATTAGTATAAACTCTGCACAATACCACCTTTACCAATAAAAAACCTACCCAAAAAAGAAAAGTCAAATACTTTCACCCTTGAAAGTCAACGTACAGTCAGGTCCATATATTTTGGGATATCGACACAATTCTAACATTTTTGGCTCTATACACCACCACAATGGATTTGAAATGAAACAAACAAGATGTGCTTTAACTGCAGACTGTCAGCTTTAATTTGAGGGTATTTACATCCAAATCAGGTGAATGGTGTAGGAATTACAACAGTTTGCATATGTGCCTGCCACTTGTTAAGGGACCAAAAGTAGTGGGACAGAATAATAATCATAAATCAAACTTTCACTTTTTAATACTTGGTTGCAAATCCTTTGCAGTCAATTACAGCCTGAAGTCTGGAACGCATAGACATCACCAGACGCTGGGTTTCATCCCTGGTGATGCTCTGCCAGGCCTCTACTGCAACTGTCTTCAGTTCCTGCTTGTTCTTGGGGCATTTTCCCTGCAGTTTTGTCTTCAGCAAGTGAAATGCATGCTCAATCGGATTCAGGTCAGGTGATTGACTTGGCCATTGCATAACATTCCACTTCTTTCCCTTAAAAAACTCTTTGGTTGCTTTTGCAGTATGCTTTGGGTCATTGTCCATCTGCACTGTGAAGCGGCGTCCAATGAGTTCTGAAGCATTTGGCTGAATATGAGCAGATAATATTGCCTGAAACACTTCAGAATTCATCCTGCTGCTTTTGTCAGCAGTCACATCATCAATAAATACAAGAGAACCAGTTCCATTGGCAGCCATACATGCCCACGCCATGACACTACCACCACCATGCTTCACTGATGAGGTGGTATGCTTAGGATCATGAACAGTTCCTTTCCTTCTCCATACTCTTCTCTTCCCATCACTCTGGTACAAGTTGATCTTGGTCTCATCTGTCCATAGGATGTTGATCCAAAACTGTGAAGGCTTTTTTAGATGTCGTTTGGGAAACTCTAATCTGGCCTTCCTGTTTTTGAGGCTCACCAATGGTTTACATCTTGTGGTGAACCCTCTGTATTCACTCTGGTGAAGTCTTCTCTTGATTGTGGACTTTGACACACATACACCTACCTCCTGGAGAGTGTTCTTGATCTGGCCAACTGTTGTGAAGGGTGTTTTCTTCACCAGGGAAAGAATTTTTCGGTCATTTTTTTTTTGGTCTTTTTTTTTTTTTTTTCCATGGTCTTCTGGGTCTATTGGTGTTGCTGAGCTCACCGGTGCGTTCCTTCTTTTTAAGAATGTTCCAAACAGTTGTTTTGGCCACGCCTAATGTTTTTGCTATCTCTCTGATGGGTTTGTTTTGTTTTTTCAGCCTAATGATGGCTTGCTTCACTGATAGTGACAGCTCTTTGGATCTCATCTTGAGAGTTAACAGCAACAGATTCCAAATGCAAATAACACACTTGAAATGAACTCTGGACCTTTATCTGCTCATTGTAATTGGGATAATGAGGGAATAACACACACCTGGCCATGGACCAGCTGAGAAGCCAATTGTCCCATTACTTTTGGTCCCTTAACAAGTGGGAGGCACATATGCAAACTGTTGTAATTCCTACACCGGTCACCTGATTTGGATGTAAATATCCTCAAATTAAAGCTGACAGTCTGCAGTTAAAGCACATCTTGTTCGTTTCATTTCAAATCCTTTGTGGTGGTGTATAGAGCCAAAAAAGTGTCCCAAAAATAAATGTCCCAAATAATAAATGTCCAAAAAGTCTCTAAATAATAGTGTCTTTTCCACCTCCAAACCAAATAATTTCTTTCTTAAGATGATCCAAACGTAACTTATCCAGAATCTTTGTGTACCTCAAAAAATATAAACTTAAAATAGTGTATTACCTTTTACATAAAATGATAAAGTGCCATAAATCATGTATCATGCAATCTGCATAACATGTGCACTCAAATCACACGTGAAAAGAAGAGAAAAAAAAAATATTCAATAATAAAAATATATCAGTATG